CTTCCGATACAAGACGCTGGTGCTAAAACCTGCAGCTGATGAAGAAAACTCGGCCAGAAGACTCCAGCAGGCAAATAAACGTCCCCGAGAGCGTAAAAATTACCCACACACCGGCAAGAGTCGTGCCTTTCAGGCTCTAACTGGTGACCGGCATTCAAAGAGGTTTGGATTTCATCAAAATAGCCACAGCGCCCCTCCCGGCCTGAGAAGTTCCCGGGATCCGAGGGAGGCACAGCTTCACAAGCAGCTCCCCTTCGCGTTAGTGATATTTGTGTGACACTCGTCACCACTCTACTGAAGTTTCCAAGAGACACTGTGCTCGAGGCTTAGAGCAAAAAGCCACCAACAGTTCTGCTGTATAACCCCCCAGGCCAGGAGGAAAACACAAAGCCACTAAGTGCGCGGGGGCTTCCTCCCCTCCGGGACCTGAGGGGGCACACGCTGCAATCCTCTACGCACCTTAGTCCGGGGACACGCACACCACCATTCTGGGGGGTGAAAAGCTGGAGTTCGGAGGCCCCAGCACTCAAGAAGCCGAGGATTAGAAACCAGGTCTCTGAGACAGCAAAGGAGCTGCTTTTCTGAGTCTGAGTCTGTTCGGGGCTGACTGTACAGGGGGCTCTCCACACAGAACACAAAACACCGCACACCTTCCATGTAGCACGCAAACGTCACCAAAGGATAGGTAATTTAAATGCGCTCACCCGAAGCGTATAAATTATTAAAACGCAGCCGTAAATAGTGAGCACCCCTCACCCAAAAAGAGCTGCTTCTCAAGACCCTCCTCCCCCGCACCCCTAAAATTATATACACAGACGACAATCCACCGACCAAACTGAACTGGGGCAGCTCCTGTCCTTTCCAACTGTCTTCTTTAACCTGAGCACCTCTGTTACCGAGGGACAGGCAGGTGGCCTCGCAGTCTGGGGATGGGGAAACTGGCGTCCAGGAAGGCACGATGGTCCAGCCATAAGTGCAAGGCCGCTCCGCAGAGGCTCGGCCTCGAAATTAAGTCAGCTAAAACGAGAGGGTACGGCCAGAGAGCGCTGAATGTTGGAACCTGGCCCCCCGGGCCGCCTGCCGGACCCCACGGCCAGGCCCAAGGCGGGTAACGCCGACGCTCAAGTGCCCGGTCGCCGAGGAAGCCTGGCCTATGCCAAGCCAGGGCTTCCGACCGAAATAATTACCGTCTTACACCAATTTGCGCTCCAAAGTAAATTACTAAGTAAGTCGAACGGAGTCTAACTAACTCACAAAGCCCAGATCCCCACACGGCACTTTTTCTAAGCCGGGCGCAAACCGCAGCGCCCGGGTGGGTCCTGGGCGGGCCGGACGAGCCTCCGAAGGGCGCGGGTCCAAGGCGCAAGGTGAGCCCGCGACCCTGAAAATCCGGGGCTCACCGGAAGCCAGGTAACAATGCCGGGCGCTGAACACCGTCTTAGGCAAACGCGGCTTCCCGAGGCTCCCCGTAGGAGCCGCAGCCCGGGGCACCGGCGTGAGCAGTCAGACCCGGAGCTCGCCAAACCACCCGCAACGTCCCTCCGGCCGAGCAAAAGGCGCGGACCCCGCCGGGGGTTCACGGCCTCGCCCGGCGCTTGGCTCTCCTTCCGAGGCTGCTCCCGAGGCGACTCAGGTGGAGAGAACGGGAACGCCCGGAATCCAAGCACCCCAGCCCCGGCCCGCCGCCGCGCGCCGCTGTGAGGCCGGGCCCCGCCGCCCGCCCCAGCGCCGCCGCCCCCGCCCGGGCCGCTGACCTGTCGTCGACGTGCAGGCTCGGCGAGCACTTGATGGCGAGCCACGTCTTCCAGTGGACGTGGCGCACCTTGTACACCTGCCCGAAGCCGCCCGAGCCGACCTTCTCCCAGCCCGCGAACTCGTCCGCGTCGAACGTGCGCAGCAGCCCCAGGGCCCACGGGCTCCGGCTCTCGCCCTCCATGGCGCGCGACTAGCCGCAGCCCCGCGCCGCCGCGGCAGCCCAGGTGCCCAGGTGCACGCCCCGCCCACTGACGTCACGTCCGCAACGCGCCCCGCCCCCCGGGCCAGGTCGCAGCAAAACGACCCAAAGACCGGTGAGGACCCAGCGCGGTCTCCCCGTGTGCTCTGCGTGAGGAGGCGCCCGGGCGCCGCGGGCGGCTGTTGACCTGCGTGTGCGCGTGGGTCTGTTTAGATGATTGTACAGTCACATGCAGTTGTAAAAAATAATTCACTCTGCCAAGTGTTTCCCCAGTGCTATCACTTTGCAAAACTTTGCAAAAAAAGAAAAAAGTAGATACTTTGGTACAACCCACCGGTCTTATTCAGATTTCCCCAATGTTGTTTGTCGTTGTCAATGAGTAAGTTCTATACAATGCGATCACCTGTGTAGGTTCGTGTACCTGTCACTACAGTCAGTTTATGGGACATTACATCACGTGAGAACCGCTCCCGTAGCCCTTTAATAACCGAACTTCCAAGCCCCGTCCGCCACTAATCTTTCTTTTATTTCTAAAATTGTGTTATTTCAAAATACATTATGTTTGCACACAGGAATCGCATAGCGTGGGAGATTTTGGAATTGGCATTTTGCCGTCAGCGTAATTTCCTGGAGATCCACCTTTCGCTTTTTTACACCGAAGTTTCCATTTTGAGAGTAACATTTTTTTTTTTTCCAGTTACCCCGACAGCAAATCTAAAGTGCATTCCAAAGAAAGACAGCAGGGGTTCCCGTTCCTTCCTAGAGTAGGGTTTCTTTTTACTTGTAGAACAGACCACTTGAGAAGATGTTTTTCCACCTTTGGGAGGAAAAAAAAAAATTCCCAGCCTGAATGCAACCTGCTCTTGGAAAGATATCTGGGTCAGAGGTCGGGAAGTGTAATTGCGAATTTCTACGCCTAAAAAAACACTCATCGGCGTAGACTGTGCAGTGAAGGAAGATTTATTTTGGGCCAAATGAGATGAATAATGGGGGCAGGATGGTGGAGCATTCTAATGACGTCATCTGTATTTTTATGTTAGTCACGGAAAAGGAGAGGTTGATCTCCGCCAACACATAGAAGCCTCAGACTCGGCTTCTACAGACCTTACCTCCCCCTGGGCACATAATCTAATTGTACAGCCAGTAACTGAACCCATTCTCTCCCGGGGCTTCTCTTCCGCGGGTGCTCACACATTGGAACAGGACAGTGCTTGTTCCAGGGCCTCGGGAAGATCAGGCAGCCACATCCTTTTCCATATAATCTTGAAATCACAATTGGTCTCCTTGAGACTGGAGTGGCAAATGGTTATTTCAAGCTTGTTTGTGGCAAATGTAACTAACATTTAAACTAACATTTTAAAAATAATCGGAATCAAGCTATATAAAGATACCTTGAAATATATAAACACGGTCATTATTTTGGTGGGAAAAAAGCAAACTGAGTAGAAAATGAGTCATCGGTGCTGCTTGTGGCACCTTTCTCTAGACTTCGGAAGTTCAGTGGCATCGGTGACTAACAGTCCACACCAGTCTAGTGATAAAACACACCGATTTCATTTCTTTAATCACCTGCTTGCTCCACTCGACACATATTTACGGAGTGTCTGCAGCAGGCTCAGCATTGGGCTCCTGGGCCAGCCCCCAGCTGCAGGCGGATGGGTCCAAAGATCCAGGCCACAGTGGGGTGGACTGGCCTGGCTTCTCCAATTTCACTAGCATCCTCATACCGGCCACTCGACCCACTCTGAGGGTCAGGTTTTTAATCTGTACAAGGAAAACAAAGTCCCTTTTGCAGGAATCGTGAAGACAGGTGGGTTCCAGACCCTGTGGGGTTATAGGAGAGTAATCGTTATTTATTTATGTTAATGGTCATTTGGTCGTTGGCGGGTAAGGTTGACATTTCCAAGTATAAAAGTAACTTCCCATGAGGAAGAGACTCATAGATATAGAGAACAGACTAGTAGTCACCAGTAGGGAGACGGCAATATAGGGGCAGGTGGTTAAGAGGTACAAACTGTAATGTACAAAATAAGCTACAAGGGTGTATTGTACAACACAGGGAATACAGCCAATATTTTATAATAACTATAAATGGAGCATAACCTTTAAAAATTGTGAATCACTATGTTGTACACCTGTGACTTACATCAGCTATACTTGAATAAAATAAAATAAATCACTGATTTAAAAAGTTATAGTTTCAATATTTTAATGGTTATTTCAGCATTGTTTGTTTTACTGTGTGAGGAGATAAACCTTCATGGTTACTGCATGGCCATCTAAGAGACTCCAAAGATTGTTTACATATAGAAGATATAAGATATGCGACTAAAGAGTCTAAAGGAAATTTTTTATAGTCATTTTCTTGTGCAAATATTTAACCTAAATACATGGCAAGTAACAGCGACGAACTAGGTGAAAAGGTTTTTAAATGAACACAGCAAATCATTTAAAAGGCACAAAATATAAAGATCCATCATTTTTTAATTTTTTTTTTAATTTTTATAATTTTATTTATTTTTGGCTGTGTTGGGTCTTCATTTCTCTAGTTGCGGCGAGCGGGGGCCACTCTTCATCGCGGTGCGCGGGCCTCTCACTGTCGTGGCCTCTCTTGTTGTGGAGCACAAGCTCCAGACGCGCAGGCTCAGTAGTTGTGGCTCACGGGCCTAGTTGCTCCGCGGCATGTGGGATCTTCCCAGACCAGGGCTCGAACCCGTGTCCCCTGCATTGGCAGGCAGATTCTCAGCCATTGCACCACCAGGGAAGCCCAAGACCCATCATTTTTAAACTGTAGATGTTTTAGCACTTGTAAGCTTTAAAAAAAAATTCCTAACATACCGTTTTATATATGAGATCAAGCATATACAATTGAAATTCAAAACTTTTAACGTTAGCTTTCAAATACAATAAATCTTATTAGAATATTACATAAGAAAATGCATACTGGATTGACTTTTGCATCTTAATGAGCTATAGCAAGTTTCTTAGTAAACAGAGAAACCTTATCTATAATTTTGTAAACATTCATATTCGCTGAAATGATTGAACCCACTCCAGGGTCAATAATTTTTATATCCCTGAAAACTTCTTTTTAAAAATTTATTTTATTTATTTTTGGCTGCATTGGGTCCTCGTTGCTGCGCGTGGGCTTTCTCTAGTTGCGGCGAGCGGGGGCTACTCTCCGTTGCGGTGCGCGGGCTTCTCACTGCGGCGGCTTCTCTTGCTGCGGAGCACGGGCTCTAGGCGCACGGGCTTCAGCAGCTGTGGTTCGCGGGCTCTAGAGCCCCGGCTCAGTAGTTGTGGCGCCCGGGAGCGCTGGTGAGCAGGGGAGGGGCAGAGAGGAGCGCGACCCCGGGGATGCTGCTGGCCCTTCTGCCTAAGAATTCCTAGGTCCGCTTCCTCCTCCCTCGGGTCCTCGGCCTGCGCATCTCATAGGCGGTCCCTCCGGCTGTGCCCGGCTGCCAGGGGATGTCCCCCCTCCACGTGGCCATTTAGCACGGCGCGCTGACCCCGCGAGCCGGCGAGGGGCCGGGAACTGCCTCTCCGTCCCACCGTGCGGTCAGGACGACCCTGCAGGCCAAGGACAGGCAGGTGCGAGGACTCTCATGGGGCAGGGTCCCGGCGCCTTGACTCTGGATGAGTTTGCCGGTCCCTGAGGGCGGGGTTGGGGGGGGTGGTGCCTGCCTCGATGGCGTCGGGCTCCAAGGACGGCGCATGGCAGGCACCAGGCGATGGATAAACAGTGTCGGTGGTTTATTACTTCTGGGACGTGTGTCTGCTCTGTGGGTTTAAACCTATCTTTGTCCTCCTTGGGGGTCCCCGGAGCAGCGCACCCCCTCACACAGTCTTCGTAGGCGAACGGCTCACTTAGGTTCTGGAGCCAAGCTGACCGTGTTCACGGGGTCCAGAACGAAGCCAGCGCCTTTAATGTCCTCCCGCTGGAGCGGCCCACAGGGAGGGGCCAGAGGAGCCCAGGCCACTCGGCGGCATCCTCCCCGCCCCTCCCC